GTAGTAGTCTCTTATAAACCTTTGTATTTCTATGGTGTCAGTTGTTACTTCTCTTTCATTTCTGATTTTATGTATAGGGGTCCTCTCTCTTTTTTCTTGACGAATCTGGCTAAAGGTTTACCTGTTTTTGTTTATCTTTTCCCAAAGAATTATCTCTTGGTTTCATCCATCACTTTCTTATTCTCACTGAAACCTGTCCCTCCCTTGAGGACACTGCTTCTTCTGCAACCTCCTGCTCCCTCCTATCGCTGAAGCTGTCAATGTGCAAGATACCTTCATTTCTTTCTGTTACTGCTTCCCTCCCTAAAAACACCCAGCTCTGACTCTCAGGTCATTAGACCACCACTCAGCACAGTCTTCCTGTGGCCCCAGTCACTCTCCTTTGTTCTTTGAAGATGCTAGCCCCGCTCTCTGTCAGTTTGTCCATCACTTCCCTTTGGGTAATTCTTGGTGATTTCAATATTCACATGGATGATGCTTCTAGTACCCTGGTTTCTAAATTCCCTGACCTCCTCTCCTCCAGCAATCTTATCCCCCTGCCCCCAACCTTGGCCACTCACTCCAGTGATCATACCCTTGAGCAAAATTCCTCAGAAGACTAGCTTATACTGACCCCACGCCTCCAGTTTACCTTCTTCCATTCGCTACTGAACATACTAATAAAGGTTTCATCATACCTCACCATTGAAACTGCTCTTGTCCAGCTCCCTAGTGACCTCCAAATTGCTAAATCTTTTTTGAGTCTCAATATTTTATTAAAATAGCACGTTTAACCAGTTAACCAATAATACCTTAATTGTCTCTCCCTGGCAACCCCCACCCCCAGAATATGCAGCACAACACCGAGTGACTTCAAATATCCTTGATCATGAGAACTCACAGAAATATAACCATGTTATGTGGTTCAACACTCTGATGGCCTCCCATTGTTCTTAGGACAGAGATCAAATCCTTAAAAGGATGGTTTGACTCGTGGCTGTCCCTGCAGCCTTGTCTGGTACCGCATATCTTCCCCCTCGTTCATCATACTCCACTGGTCTTTGGCATTGAATGGGCTGCTCCTGCTTCTGGAAATGTTCCTCCCCTCTCTCCCTTTCCTTCAGAACAACACTCAGCCCTCCCTGACCTGCCTGGCCAATTCCCCTGCCATGCCTGGTCATGGTATCACATAAACCCTGCTGGATCACCTGACACAAATGGAAAATCACACGTTTAATTTTGTCTTCCTCACTAGATGACAAGTTCCGTGAGGGCAGGGACCACATCTGCTTTGGCTCCCCCCTGTGGCCAGAGCCCCAGCACAATGCCAGGCCTGTAGGTGACCCCAATAAAGACATGTTGAAGAGAAGAAGACAGAAGGCAAGTGGCAGGGCTCTCATTCATCATTGTACCCGCAGGCCCTGGTTGTGATCTCTGATGAACAGTAGGTGCTCACTCAGTGTTCTGAGTGAATGAATACATGTGTGAATGTTTTCAGACAGCCCTTGGCCAGGAGGAAGTAGTAACATAACCAAGTTATAAACAATTTTAGGATAAGCTAAACTGGGTTGGGTAATAATAAAAAAAAAACCCTACATGTCAAGGCTTAACACATACAGGTTTGTTTCTGGATAATAGATTATATTAAAGAATATTGGTAATTGTATTAAGGGTGATAATGGCACGATCATTACACTGATCCCTGGCCTATTTGCTCACAGATACTTTCTCTGACTTTGCCCTTTTCTGATCTGTATCCCTGGGGGCTCACCTCCTGTCCTCCCTTGCTGTATTAGCCTGCTCTGGCTGCCACAGCAAACTACCATAGACTGGGTGGCTTACACAACAGACATTTATTTTCTCACAGTTCTGGAGGCTGGAAGTTCAAGATCAGGGTGCCAGCATAGCTGGGTTCTGAAGAGAGCACTCTTCCTGGTTTGGAGTCTCCCTTTTTGCTGTGTCCTCACATGGCAGGTGTGTGGGTAGTGGAGCGAGATCTTCCCCTCCTTATAAGGCCATCAGTTCTATAGGGCCCCACTCTTATGACCTCGTTTGATCTTAATTCCCTCATAACAGCCCCATTTCCAGATACAGTGGCTTTGAGGGTTAAGGTTTCAACATATGAATTTGGAGGCACGCATTTCAGCCCATTAGCACTTGCCTCCCGGCTTCTGGCCAGATTCTGGCTATGACGACAGGATACTAGGGTTTCTCTCCTGTCTCTCTCAGGTTCATGTGGCATCTCTGGTGGCATCTTCTCTGACATCTCAGCTCCCGCTGGACAAACTCTGCCTCCCTGGCCCCAGCTTCTACCACACAGCCCCTGTATTACTTTCCTATGATTGCTGTAATGAATTACCACAAACTGGGTGCTTTGCAATGACTGAAATTTATTCTCTCACAGTTCAGAAGCCCAGAAGTCCAAAAGCAAGGTGTCAGTAGGATTGGGTCCTTCCGCAGGCTTTGAGGGAGAGTCCATTCCACGTCTCTCTCCTAACTTCTGGTGCTTGTTGGTAATCTTTGACATTGCTTGGCCTGTAAATGCATCCCTCCAATCTCTGCTTCCATCTTTATATTGCCTAGTCTCTATGTGTCTCTTTATCCACATCTCTCTCTTTTCTTATAAAGATACCAGTTATTTACCCACCCACCCCCAATCTAGTATAACCACATCTTAACTTGATTACATCTGCAAAGTCCGTTTTCCCAAATAAGGTACATTCATAGGTACAGGGATTTAGGACTTGAACATATCATTCAACCCACTACAACCCATCATGGTTCTGTGGGTCATTAAGCATTTGTGGCCCAAGGGCTCTAGTAACACACCTCATCTTCCCTTTGTCCTTCCAGTCCTTGGGTTGGGAGCAGCTTTCTGCCAAGAGCTAATCTCTAAGCTGCTTCACCAACCCCTGCTTGTTATATTATATAAAATATAAATATATAATATGTATGTGTGTATATATGTATGTATACAAACATGTATGTATATGTGGTATGTATAAATACCAAAGTATTTACAGATATAATGACATGGGATCTTCTTTAAAATAATCCAGCAGGAAAAAAAGGGGTGGTGGGAAGACCCCACTGTAAAATATGAACTTTGGGTGATTATGATGTGTCAGTATAGATTCATTAATTGTAACAAATGTACCACTTGGAAGGGGAGGGGGCGGTTGATAGTGGGGGAGGCTCTGCATGTGTGGGGCAGGGAGTATATGGAAAATATCTGTACCTTCCTCTTAATTTTGCTGTGAATCAAAAACTGATCTAAAAAAATTAAATTGTTAAAAAAAAAAAAAAAAGAGGGGCACCTGGGTAGCTCAGTCGGTTAAGCGTCCAACTCTTGATTTTGGCTCAGGTCCTGATCTCAGGGTTGTGGGATTGAGGCCGCATCAGCCTCTGCCCTAGGTGTGGAGCCCGCTTAAGATTCTCTCTTTCCCTCTCCCTCTGCCCCTCACCCACCCTCATGCTCTCTCTCTCTCTTTCTCAAAAAAAAAAAAAAAAGAACAAACAAAACAAGAGGGTGTTAGATGAAAGTGAAAGAAAATTGGCAAAATGCTAACAATGCCAATAATAAAGTTGGGTGATGAGTATGGGGAAATTCATTTTACTATTCTCCGTACTTTTATGTATGTTTGAAATTTTCCATAAAAAAAGATCTCTAAAAATGGTGTGATAAAATTGTGATTTTCATCTCCTGTATGATTCTTATACTTAGTTCTCTGAAAATACCTTGTGTATCACTCCTTTCTTATTTCACTAAGAAAACTTCAGATGTCTCTAGAACTTTGTTGCAGAAAATCCAGCTGGACCACCCATGGTCTTACTATTTAGTATTTCAACAGAAAAGACAAAGTGCTTGAAGACTAATTTTTTGTGAGAAAACTCTATAACCACATTGAAACAGTAGTCTACAATTTATCTAGCTCCCTAGGTTCTCTGTTTAGTATTCAACAAATTTTAAGTTAAGATATCCTTGACTTCCTCAAATCATTAAAATATAAAGTGTGCTTAGCTGCTGTTGGAAGGATAAAGACCCTTTTGCTTTTCCTTCCAGTAGAGGGCTTCTACTAAAAGAAAAAAGCAAAATCTTTACTATGGAAAGATTTAAGTCAGAAGTTGAGGAATAATCTGGCTTCTTTGGGTATCCTAATGCTAAACTATTAATCTACTTCAGAACTTACATTCAGTGTACAAAAGATCTTGTTTCTGAGATCACATCATATCAAGTTGTATTATTTCATAATTCTCTGTCCTCCAATACATGTGCTATTGGGCCATGCAGAGAACTATGGATTGTAAAAGAGGGTCATGTTCTTTCTAGAAACCTTGCTTTACTATTTGCTTTATCCTAGGATGTATTTTCAATGTTAAAAATCCTTAGAAAGAGAAACAAATCAAGCCTACCATATTACTAATTTAACCTAATTTTTATTTATGTTCTATGAGTTTCAAATGTCATATGACATCAGAGCATTTTAAAATTTAAGAACATATATATCAGGGACACCTGGGTGGCTCAGATGGTTAAGCATCTGCCTTCGGCTCAGGTCATGATCCCAGGGTCCTGGGATCGAGCCCTGCGTCAGGCTCCTTGCTCAGTGCAGAGCCTGCTTCTCTCTCTCCCTCTGCCATTCCCTCTGCTTGTGCTCTCTGGCTCTGTCTATCTCTCTGTTAAAAAAATAAATAAAATCTTTAAAAAAAAAAAAAGAACATATATATCAGAAGTAATGCTTTAAGCCACATGCTGCAAAATGTAATGGAAGATGTGGGTAAAGAGGTTTTTTTTCTTTTCTCTAGGTTATAAAATTAGTCATAAAAGATAGTAAAATATTTTCATTGTTTTCTCCATCCTAAAAGTTTATTTTCCTTTCAAAATGAAGTATCTCCTCTTTTCACATGACAGAGTTTAATCTTCTGTGTTTATGGCAGAATGTCGTAAATCATTTCGTTGCAGTAGTTTATTGTTAGAAGTTGTGCTGTCACTTAACGAATCTGTTCTCTCTGTCTTCCAGCTGCACCAGACCCCACAGCTTTCCAAGGTCACATGAAACCCTGAGTTGGCTGCTCTACGCTAGGTGAGCATTGCTCACCACCTTCTTCTACATTGCTTAGGTCTCTCCTACCTCCTCTCTGCATATCAGAAAAGCATAATTTTAGATTCAGTTTTGATGATAGTCATCATTTAAAAGCTAGTACAGTTCACTGTGCCAAGCACTATTTGACATTTAATTCTCTAAAGAACCTACTCAAGAATCAACACTGATTATTTCCATTTTCAGATAATGAGACCAAAGCTCAGAAAAGTTAAGTAATTTGCTGAATATCACACAGCTAGGACTCCCTAGAGCCGAGATGCAGCTCTCCCAAGCGGTGCTGGAGTTACTGCTTGTAACCATTGGGTCACATCTCCAATCCAAGTTTTTTGGTACTTTTCCCCATTGGCACAGGGTATCCTGAATGTGCCCAGCATTTGGCTCTGCTTCTAAAGCTAAAGATACAGTGCTGTTCTTTAATTGGATCTACAGTTACTGTTTCATCAAGTTGGGAACAGCCCTGGACCCTAATTGTTAGTAATCACACAAAGTGTTCCATTTTAAACAGACCTTTTTTTTTTTTCCAGGTGTGTAAAACTTAAAAATAATGATATTCTGTTTTAAATTGCCAGTAGGCAACACGTAGTCATTGTATAACTTTTAAACTTGGTGTTCAAATATTATCTAAATTGTGTTCTCATCAGTCAGATAATTTTTAGTGAATAAGAGAGTGAGTTTTGCTTTTTTTTTTACACAGATGGTCTGTGGGATTACTAAATAGAAAACAAACAAACCTAAAAACAATTTCTCTTACTTAATGACAAAACTAGGTAAGGAAGGGTTAATTTTGTGTTGTCCAGTAAGGTAGCCACTGGACACATGTGTCTGCTGAGCATTTGTAGTGTAGATAATTTGAATTGAGATGTGCGGTAAGTGTCAAATACAAACATATTTTCAAAACTCAGGACGTAAAAAAGGATGCAAAATGTCTCATTAGCAACTTTTATATCAATCACATGTTGAAATGATAATATTTTACATATATTGGGCTAAATAATTATTAAAGTTAATTTCACTCATTTTTTTCTTTACCTTTTTTATTGTGGCTACTAGAAGACCTTGAATTCCATGTGTGGTCTCGCATATTTCTATTGGACAGTGAAAGTGATGACTAGATGACTAGTCCAAGTGGAATCAAGCAGTTCATAGCATGTATGTTCATCAGTGAAAAGCATTCTTTTTTTTTTTTCGGTGATAAGGTTAAATATCCATGGGATGACAATTCTACCATTTTCTCAAAGTTCTGCCCTGTTAGATTGCCATTGTATTCATAAGAACCACAGGAAAAGGCATTTCCTCCTGAAGAGCGATTCTCAGACTGATTTTTCACTACTCAGAAATGTGGCCCCAGGATGACATATCAAGAACAAAAAAAAGTACCAACATTTCTTGTGTGAGATTCAAAGCCGATGGTGTGGTTCCTTCTGAGCAGTGGTCACTGGTGTGGCTCATCCATCTCTACCATAGGCGTGATGGTTTACAGCGCAGCAGTGCAAAGCCAAAGGGCACCCACGAGTTCATTACATAATTCTTGGTAGCATGAGGCCAAGCATGTATCTGCTCTGGGGAACGGTGGGCAGGCTCTGACAGGCAGACCGAGGCGGTCATGATGATGTTTTGACAGAGTGTGTGCTAGAAGTTGTTTGTTTGGAAAAAGGCTTACCGGCTTTTTTTCCCCTCCTCCTTTCTCTCTCTCTCTCTTTCTCGTTTTCCCTTTTAAACACTCTGGCATAATACTGAATGACTTTGTTTTTAAGCTGCCTTAGCCTTGCTTTGTGAAGAAAAAGCCTGAGTACTCTTTCCCTGTAGGACACAAGTGTTATTTTTGGAGCAGAGGTTCTTAGCCTGATCTCTGTCTAAACCAATTTCTGTTCTTTGTGAGGTCGTGGTCTGGGGCGGCTCTGAGTGATCTCCATGGAGGGAAGCTTCCTGGCTCCGTGAGGGAGTGTTGGCAAAGATGTCGAGGGGCCACGCCTGAAAGTGCCCTGCCCTGGGTCTCAACCACAGAAGGCTCCTTCACATTCAGATTCCACTCAATAGATTGTGCCCTTAGGACAGTTGCAACCACATGTGGTGAAGGGGTGTTCTTTTTCTGCTTATGTCACTTGATGGGATGTTTTGGGTCAAGATGACACCCCCCCCCCTTTCCTTAGCCTAGCACTTTAGGTCCCAGGCTCCTGGGAACGAGGAAAGCCACAACTGGACAATCTCTGCAGGCTGTTCAGCGTGGAACTGGCTGTGGGAAAGCCACCGCCCACTCCAAGGGCCACAACATGAGTCCCCGAGGGCCTCTGGGAACTCATCTCAGGACTCCAAGTTCAGAGCATCCCCTTCTGTAACCTGCTCTGAGCCGGGCTGCTAGACAAGGAAGAAAACCTCTCCTGCTTCTCACCGTTCCTTTTCCTGACCTGGCATTCCTAGGAGTTTACATAGCTTGAGCCTGGCAGGAGACGTGTCAAATTAGAAACAGTTTAGTAAAATAATGCCGTGAGCAGCAAATAGTATATCACCTTATGATGACTCCTTTCCTTTGGAAAGTGGTAGCTGCATATTCAGGGAGCAGCCACGTATGGAAAAGGCCCCCGTGATGAACAAGTAGCCCCCGCAGGTGTGTCAGGCTGTTTTCCTCTTGGTGGACGGGAGCGTGACCTGTGCTGTGCCCTTCCCTGGCCTGCTATACATAGCCAGCAAAGCTTCTTACCAGAGAAACCTCTTTCTGTACCCTCCACCAGGCCCACCCGCAGACTAGAAGCCTCGCTGTAAATCCTCTGCAAGCTACTGCACCTGGCAAGGGAAACCAGCCAGCTGGCCCCCAGAGCTGACCGGGTCCCCACCACAGCCTTCCAGCCTTCCTTTTCTTCTCCCGGGAGCATACCCTGTGTTCAGCCATGGTCGACATGGGGGCCCTGGACAACCTGATCGCCAACACGGCCTACCTGCAGGCCCGGAAGACCTCGGATGGAGACAGCAGGGAGCTGCAGCGGCGACGCCGGAGCCTGACCCTGCCTGGGCCACAGAGCTGCACCCAGCTGCGCCAGTCCCTGCCCCAGGACTTCAACAGCCTTTGCGAGCAGCAGCCCATCGGCCGCCGTCTCTTTCGGGACTTCCTCGCCACAGTGCCCCCATACCAAGAGGCCGTGGCCTTCCTCGAGGAGGTGCAGAGCTGGGAGCTGGCTGAGGAGGGCCCCGTCAAGGGCAGCATGCTGCAGGGGCTGGTGGCCACTTGTGTGGCTGCCTCTGCTCCAGGGCACCCGCACCCCTTCCTCAGCCCAGTGCTGGCCACCAAGTGCCAAGCAGCCACCGCCAAGGAAGAGCAGCTAGCCCTGGTAGCACAGGCCAAGGCCGAGGTCATGGCCTTCCTGCAGGACCAGCCCTTCCAGGATTTCCTGGCCAGCCCCTTCTATGACAAGTTTCTGCAGTGGAAAGTCTTTGAGATGCAACCGGTGTCAGAAAAGTACTTCAATGAGTTCCGAGTCCTGGGGAAAGGTGGTTTTGGGGAGGTAAGTGTCTCAGAATGGCCAGACTGGAAGGGGAAGTACACAGCATAAAAGGGGTTTGTTTTACCTTTAAAAAAAAAAAAATCTTAAGAGAACTTACTTAGAACTAATTTCAGTGCTGCCTGTGGAGAATTCCTAGCTCACTCTCACATCTTTTTTCTGGTCACCACGTGAAATAAAATAAGAGTGGCATAGGAAAGACAAACAAAACATGGAGCTGGCCAAGAATCTTTATCATGGGGTCTACACCAGAAGCACGCTGAAGTGCCCCGGATGCTTTGGAGAATGATAGCAACACACAACAGCGGGAGCTCTCCCTTTCCCTTTAATTGCAGTAATGGATGTAACTTGAGAAAAACTTCAGGTATCTGAGAAAACACTTATCTTGAAGTAAAGTCTAGAATCAGTTTTATACCACTGCTGTCATCAGCCCTTTCTTTTTTTAAGTAGAAAAACATTTTCTAGTATATGTGCTGCCGAGGCGAGCACTAGAAAGACATGTTTTGAGGTAAAATTCACATAACGTAAAATTAACCACTAACAACAAAAATGTATACAATTCAGTGGCACTTAGTACATTCATACTAATGTTGTGTAACCATCCCCTCTACGTAGTTCCAAGACATTTCCATTACCCCTATACCTGTTAACAGTTACTCTCTGTCCCCCTCCCAACAGCCCCTGGTGTCTCCTGGTCTACTTTCTGTCTCCGTGGTTTTGCCGACTCTGATGTTTCGTGTAAATGGAGTCACGCGATATGTGACTTTCTGTATCTGGCTTCTTTCACTGAGCATAGTGTTTTAGAGGTTCATTCACATCATAGGTCTACCAGTACTTCATTCCGTTTCAGAGCTGACTAGTCTATTGTATGGGGATACTACATTTCACTTATCCATTCATCTGTTGCTGGACACTTGGATTGTTTCCACCTTTTGGCTGTCTTGAACAGTGCTGCTATGAACATCCATGTACGTGTATTTGAATACCTGTTTTCATTGCTCTTGTGTCTCTGCCCAGGAATGGAATTGCTGGGTCATGTGGCAATTCTATATTTAACTTTCAGAGGAACCACCAAAATCTTCCACATTTTAGGTTCCCACCAGCAAGGCATGAGGGTTCCAGTTTTTCCACATCCTTGCTGGCACTTGCTATTTCCCCTTTATTTTTCATTATGGTCCTCCTAGTGGGAGGTACAGTGGTACCTCATGGTGGTCCCAGCTCTTTCCTGAAGAACCCCTATTACTCATGGCTTCTCTTTTTCTCAGAAGCCCGCCATCTTTTTACCTCCCTTGATTTCTGCCCTTCCACACCCTGAATCAGCCTCACTCCCTTTACTCTCCAGTGCTTCCTACTTCTACCTCATCCACTCCCTTTCTTTCTTCCCTTAAGGTGTGTGCTGTCCAGGTGAAAAACACTGGTAAGATGTATGCCTGTAAGAAACTGGACAAGAAGCGGCTGAAGAAGAAAAATGGTGAGAAAATGGCTCTTTTAGAAAAGGAAATCTTGGAAAAGGTCAGCAGCCCTTTCATCGTCTCTCTGGCCTATGCCTTTGAGAGCAAGTCCCATCTCTGCCTTGTCATGAGCCTGATGAACGGGGGAGACCTCAAGTTCCACATCTATAGTGTGGGCACGCGGGGCCTGGCCATGAGCAGGGTGGTCTTCTACTCGGCCCAGATGACCTGTGGAGTGCTGCACCTCCACTCCCTCGGCATCGTCTACCGGGACATGAAGCCCGAGAACGTGCTTCTGGATGACCTCGGCAACTGCAGACTGTCTGACCTGGGGCTGGCCGTGCAGATCCAGGACGGCAAGCCTGTCACACAGAGGGTGAGTGGCTCTCCTCGGTCCTAAGGGTGGGGCACAGAGTCAGAGAGGAGGGGAGAGGGCTGATCTATTCCCCTTGCAAACGGAGCCTTGGGCATAATTCTTCTAATTTCCTTCTTCCTAAAGCCATTTTGTGGAGCCTTGAGTGGAGTGTTGTAAGAGGATTAGCTTAGCTGGCTATTTGGGGGCTACTTTGCTCTCTTCTTCTGGCAGACACAGGGAGCCTTCTTTGTGAGTTGGAGATGGTCTGTGCTTTCACGGTGAGATGGAAAGAGCTGAATCCATAGTGAGCATCTAGTATGTTCCACCAATAACCACCTCCCCAGTGCCATGATCCTGAGTCAATAGAGCCTTGGTTTCCTCCTCGGGAAAATTTTAGAGGCTGGGTCCTAAAATTCCAGGATCCTGGCAGGTAAACTTTAATAGGATAAGGAAAAGAAGAAACCCCTAATACTTAGCACATTAAAGTAAATATCTCTTTTCCCACTGAGTGCCAATTGGCGGGGGGGTGGTGGTGGCGGGGGGTATGTTTTACTTTGGATAAAGGTGAAATTTTGAATGAAAATGTATAGAAGAGAACAAAGGCAACTGATATTTATTTTGATCAATTTGGTTCGAAGTGGCTTGCAGAGAATTCTTTGATTTAAAGGGTATTAATTCTTTCATTAATTTAGCAAGTATTTAAGTAAACAATACAAACTCTCTTTGATTCTGGCAGGTCTTTACCACTGCGTTTCTGTCCACAAAGGTGGGAGAAAGCTCAGGAAGACAAGGGCCTAAGTCAGGCTCTTAAATATTCACTTGAAACTTTGTTTTTGTACAGTTTCCAACTTATAAGGCAGAAAGGATAATTGGGCAATGAAGTGAGAAAAACCGTGGCAAATTTGGGAAAGTGCAGGTGATTTTATGTAGCTGTAATATAAGGGGTGTGGACAAGATGTGTAGGGTTCAGATCATGCAAAGTCACTGGAATGCTTTCTTGTGGGGGCCAAGGAGCCATTGAAGGCTTTCAAGAAGGGGAATGACATGAGTAGATTTGCATTTTTAAAAGACCAATTTGGGTTGTAGATGGGAGGCAGAGGACCTAGTTAAGAGGCTAATGCAGTGACCCAGGAAGAGATGGTGGGTACTTGTAGAAAATAGTAGGATTAAAGATGTGGGAGGAGATTGGTGCCATTGGAAAGAGACCAGGACATCAAGACCAGCTGGGTATGATGGTGAGGAACAGAGAGGGTCTCTAGCTCCACTGACTGGAAGGAAGAGCAGAACTGTGGAAAAGCTAGCAAATTCAGTCAGTGATGACTGTGTTGTATATGAGACAGGCAGGTAGAGATGTTCCCTGGGCATTTAGACCTGTCGGTCTGGTGCTATGGAGAAAGGTCTGGGCTAGATATTGGGATTTGGAGTCACTGTGACTTGGGAAGCTTCAGGCACCACTGAGTCACATGGGAAATAATGAGGGAAGAGGACTAGGAATGGCAGCTGGGGAATATCAATGTGTAGGGGATGTGGAAGAAGAGCCTTGAAGAGGTTAGGTTAAATAAATAGAATGAGAGGTAGGAATGGCATAGTCATGGGAGCTGTATCAGTTAAGGGTTGATTTCAGCAGCCTATCATAGAAAACCCAAATAGCAGTGGATTAAATCAGACAGGGGTTTATTTTCCTTATGTAACAAGTTGTGTGGAGATTAGTGGCTCTGGTATTAGTTCAGCAGCTGCAGGATGATGAGATCAATATCTCTGGCATTTTGGCCTTTTCCATGTGCCATAACCATCTGAATTTGGAAGCAAATCTTGAGCTCTAGGTAAGAATGCAACCCAGCAGATATCTTGACTTGGGTCTTGTAAGATCCTAACCAAAGAAACTTGCCATGCTGTACCCAGACTTTTGACCTACAGAACTGTGAGTTAATAGAAGGTAGCTGGGGGAAAGATTTTCATATGATAGCATCAAAATTAATCAAAAAGATAGTAAGGTGCTAGACATTGTGAGAGGGACAATGTTTTCCTTTCCAACAGGGCTCAGAATGTGTACCATCTATTATAATAGAACTTTAGGCTGTAATAGAATTTGAAACTCTGGACTTGATTCTTCCAAGTGGGTAATTCTTCCCTAGGTAGGAGCTAGTCATCCTTGAAGGGGCACAGGCCCTTTCAGGCTATTGGGGGATATTAGGTGACGCACTTTGGACATTGCTCTATAGGCAATAGGGAGCCACTGAAGGTTTTTCAACAAGAAAGTGGCATGACTGGAGTGATTCTTCAGGAAAATAATTTGGACACTGTGTAAGATGAATTAAAGAAGAAAGAGACTGGGGGTGGGGGACCCACAAGCAGCTACTGAAAGGATCCACACATGAGGTGATGTGGGTTGAGGAAAGGCTTTGGGCTCTGAGCAGTCCTGTGTCTACAGTTCAGCCCCCCCTGGCCTCTCACCTAGGCTCCATCAAGACACACACCTGAAGGAAAAAGAAAAAAAAGACCCACACCTGGACTTCCTTCTCTTAAAACATGGCTGTCCTCAGTGGAGGGGATGAGAAAAGCACAGAACCATTCTTTTTTTTTTTTTTAAGATTTTATTTATTTATTTATTTGAGAGAGAGAGAGCGCATGAGAAGGGGGAGGGTCAGAGGGAGAAGGAGGCTCCCCACTGAGCAGGGAGCCCGATGTGGGACTCGACCCCGGGACTCCAGGATCATGACCTGAGCTGAAGGCAGTCGCTCAACCAACTGAGCCACCCAGGCGCCCAAGCACAGAACCATTCTTAGAATATGGTGACAGGAGGCACCTCAGAGAAGAAAGACACAGGTGGCTCTGCTCAGGTGTGAGAAAGATGGAGGCAGACATACCAGGAGAGGCAAGGATGCTTAAGAGTGCTGGCTGGGTAGGCAGAAAACCTGAGTCCCTATTCCAGCTGTGTCACTGACTTACTGTCTGCCATCTTAGGTAGGCCTTAAGGCCTCCTTCATCTCCAAGTTTTAAGCGTCTATGAGAGAGTCTTTGAATTATTTGGAAGAAAAGACTTATAAATTCAAAAGATCAACATATGGAATAAGTTACTATGATTTACTAGACTATCAGTCAGGGTTCTTGTGGGACAAAAGGAAGTTATTTAAGAAATGAAATTAATGGTTTTCATACCTAAGAAGCTCAGAGGCTTGGCTTGATCCAGGTGCCTGAGCAGTGGATTCCCTGAGAATCTCTTCCTGTTTCCCTGCTCTGGTGTCCTCAGTGTTAGCCTCACTCTCACTTGGGTGATCCCTGCACAAAGGCCACCAGCATCTCCATACATACCCTACCAGCTGAGCAACCCCATGGAAAGAAAACACTTCTTTATAAACAGTTCCTTCACATTTCCCAGGGAACACTCTCAATGGACAACTCAAGTCACATGCCCAACCACAACCAGTTCCACTGACCAGGATGAGATCACTTCCGTTCCCAGGAGCCAGGGAGAAGGTCTGTCCCATCTAAATCTCATGGACTGACATCAGAAGAATGTGTTCTCCAAAGGAAAATCAGGTTGGAAAAGAATGAGAAATGGATGTCAGCTAGGCAAAAAGAGTGGATACCCCTAGTAACTGCTGTTACCTCCATGGTTTGAAAAGTTTGAAAGCTTTCTGACCCCTTAAGAGATAATGGGATCTAGATCCTTTTTAAGAAGATTCTATGAGGTAGGAATATTATTAGCTCCATTTTACAGATGGAGAAATTGAGACTCAGAGAGGTTAAGTTACCCACTCAAAGTCACATTTCTAATATGTGATATGAACCCAGGTACATCAGATTCAAGGGCACTTACAGTCTTGATTCTACCCTGTTAAATTCACACAGAGAGCAGGACATGGCCTAGGTTTTTAAGGCTATAAAAGACTTTTCTCCAGTAAAGCTCAGAATAAGTATATGTGATGACATTAGCATATCTTCCTCAGACTGGTCTGATATGGATACCAACCAGAAGTCCAGCTGAACCTCTTACAGAGTTAAGACTTCAAAAAGGAGCACCCCCACGTACAGGAATGATGTGACTAATGTCTCAGAGCCAGCTTCCCACACATAGGCACAATATAAATAAACATGGTCCCAGCCACTCTCTGCATTCACTTTTAATAAATGTGATAAGCACTCCTGCCTCTTCTCAGCTGATATCTACATGCATACAATAAAACTAATTCACATCACTTTTTTAGAGACTCTGGGAAAATATAATAGGAACATTGGGCAGTGGGGTTCATGCTGGGACTTTCAAATTCCTTATTCTAAGTGGAGAACAGTGACCTTCAGATTTTATGGAACATGAATCCTTAAGATGTGTTCTTTTGTCAGGAGTGGGAACGAAGTTAGAACTGTGAGCCAAAGGCTCGTGACATGTTTGGTTACCTTGTCCTGCTCTGAAGCTTCTGACCAACTCCTTACATTCAGAGGGACGATGGGTGACAGAGGTTGGGCATTATATTTAGTCTGAAGCTTCTATTGTCCTGAATACAGTGTTAGAGACACACTGAAGAAGTGATTTTGAAAAGATCTCAGAATGTGTTTCATCAAAATTAACACCTTCATACCTCACGATCATTATGACCCTGCTCCAAAATTCTTTCTCTTTGAGAATTCACTTCTGAGAAACAGTGGAAGAGCCTTATACGAGTGGAATTCTGGTTACTTCTTGGTCACACGTTGGTCTCCACCAAAAGTATAACCACTGTCATTAACTAAATTTAGTGCCTAGTAATTTTTGACCACTACCATCCAATCCATTCTGAAAGTATTTATCACTATTAAGGGCATTCAAAAATATTCATTAAAGCCTAAGAATTATTTTTTTAATTTTTTTTAAAGATTTTATTTATTTATTTGAGGGAGAGAGAATGAGAGATAGAGAGCACGAGAGGGAAGAGGGTCAGAGGGAGAAGCAGACTCCCTGCTGAGCAGGGAGCCCGATGCGGGACTCGATCCCGAGACTCCAGGATCATGACCCGAGCCGAAGGCAGCTGCCCAACCAATTG